CCTTGGGAGGCGGTAAAACCCTTGGTTTTTAATAAAGGACAATGAAGGAGTAGACAACGGTATTAAATTACAAACTCTCCGAATCGGAAAGGGCACAACTTATGACATGTTCCGACCATGCCAGATTTTAGGATACGGTATACCACAGCATTGAATGACCGATAAGGATGAGGAGTGATAAATTACTGTAAATAATATTGTTCTTCAACGGTGGGTAAGTTTTATTCTGTGAAGTAGTAAGAGTGGGACTGGCTTAACTATATTTACTTCTTTTTGTGTCGTGACCAGGCGGTTAGGATGACGGTATTCTGTCCCTTTATTCCTCATAGGCATTGGAGTGAACTGATGCGCAAGACAGGTCAATCATTCGACATCAATCCGGATACATTCACACTGGCCAGTGTATTTGCCATGGATTTGTACCAGTATCAGAGTCAGATCTCGGAGATTCTGGCCGTGGCCATCAAAGAGATGAGTATCGAAAAGGTATGCATATGTAGTAGTTGTGATTGCAGTTGACTTCTTTCATAGACTGATTTTACAAGTCCAAAACGCACAAATAAAATTTCCACATTATGTTACATAAACTCCTACTCGAAGAGATTCCTTTTCCTATAGAAACGTGACACCGAAATTCCCACATGGGAATGGGATAACTCCTGAGACTGTGTATATCAAGAGAGTGGGGAAGATAGACAGTGAATAGAAACCGGTACACTAAACCACATTAGTATAGTAAGGTTACGGAAATGCAGCTCAAGATTCTCACTTACTACGGGACTGGAAACCCCAAGTACTACACAAACTGTTGTGTAACGCCAACGTAATCTGTCCACTGATAATAAACCTTAACATTATTTCGCTCTATCCTCCAATCACTCTCCAATTAATGAGCCTTGCCATTAGTATTTCTGCTATCGTTCAGCAGAACTTCATTCCCATCCGATTCGATAGGGTCCATGATAGCTCTCAGGTTCAGGTAACAGAGTTCAAACTGTGGGTCTCATTCTCCATCAATCACTCCGTTCATCTGGTGGCGCTTCATATTTTGAACTGCAACTAAAAGAATGTAACAAATAAAATCCACATTGTTCTTGTTGCATACACCGTGATCTTCGGTTTTACTAGAGTTAGTGTTAGCATCCATAGAGGTACGTATGTGCACCAACCAAAGATGGAGTTGGGTTCAGTTCCTACAGAGAAAAAAACAATATTGTTTTATTCTTGCTATTTAGCCGCACAACTTGGATAGGCGTAAGTAAGTGCCCGTGCACTCTCTTCAAGCCTGGGTTGAGTCAAAAAGTCAGTTCTTTAGGAAATGTTGTCGATATATCTTCCGTAGCCCACTGGACACGAATCACACTTGGGAATGGAATCACAAGCGTTTATATATAACCCTGAACCAATCAGATTGGTCACCGGGCAAAATTAAAGTCTTATACGGACCAATCACAAAAACACAATTGATGCAGTAAAACAAGTGATCAATTCAAACAACACTCCAACACAGCTTGTATCCAGGTTTAAATCAGATAGCCAAGATATGAAGCCGAGCTGTTGGACAATAATTTCACTGTTCTATTCACAATACACCGTACCGTTGCTGCTTCTTCGCTTAACGCCTACCTATTCCACCACATTTTGCATGTTGACGAAGTATATTCAAAAAAGGACAGAATGAGAGTAAAAAAAAATGGAATATACTTCATTTGTGTATAACTCTATACCTTTTGAAAGTCAAGATCTCCGAGTCTCATTTCACGATGTCTCCGCTTCATTTTAAGCTGTCTCATCGACCCCATCGACACTGACAAGCCTCCAAACAACTTTATATGTCATGGGAATTGGGACGTGTGAATGAAGCACGTCTCAATCGTCCCTCAGCCCTTCAGCGGACGGTAGGGAAATCTGTGCGGCATGGTGGTCATCCAAACGTCGCTGGGATGCTTGTTAACTCGGATAAAGTCTACGCGACATCCTGAAACGAAACTCGGACAACTTTAAACGATATTCGGATAACTTGACGTGCAAAATATATAAATAGGCTTGCGGGTCGCAAAATCAACAGCAGCACATATCTTGGTTGACATCGGAATGCACAAGTGCGTCCACACGGACTCGTTAACTCTGACGCAAATTAGGTCCTATGGCTTTTTTTTGCAGCCGACAAGCCTTTTTGCGGCTACCAACATCTTAAACCAGCTCGTTCTTTTTATGCGTACCCTGTATACAGACACTTCTCAGTTTTACCCAGTCGCTCTCATAAATACGATACTTTTCGATCTAAATCGTCTGCAGTGACATGACTAAAGCGTTTTGCATCGGGACTAAATGGTCATAGGTCGCGACTGAGGGATTCCCGGTTTTGACTAAGGTGTGATGGGAAGTAATGTAGATAGATGGTGATGTATTCATTGCACAAGATAGAGGGTGTCTATCGTTCAATGTTGTGAGCTAGATAGACGACAATGGATGTAAAATGAGCTGTACAAATGAGCTTGAAGTGTTGTTTTCCCTAAGGGAGGATGGCCAATTGCCTTCTGACCATCGTAATTTACCTGTTTAATGAAATTCATGAAACAAATTACTGGATCGAGGCAGAAGAGCTGAAAATCTTAGTCGAATAGTCCCCGAAGGGAGGGTGGGGAATTTATGAGAGCGACTGGGTAAAACTGAGAAGCAAAGCGGTCACTTTCTTTGTGAGAACATTACAGTGCAATGGACACAACACACCACAAGCGAGCGCAACTTAATTCCGGAATCATTTCGCTGCATCTCAGCTGTTGCTTACTGCAGAATATAAAACAATTTATATATCACAGATGTTGATCATCTTGATAGTCTTTCCCTCTAACTTTCTTCCTTTCCAATGCCCTGGAAACGCCGTGATATTTTATTTCGTTTTAGTTTTGAATACTTTCGAAAGTACAGAGGTGAGGGAAATGGG